GTTCAGCTGAAAATATCCCTGTTTTTGCTCAAAATGTGGAGGAAGACCCGAATTGCTCGATTCCCCGACGTGCTCAACATTTGGGCTTCTCTTAGGGCTCATTGCGGCGAACTTTGCAATTGGATTTGAAGCTCCATCCGTACAAAGTCCAACTGACTCAAGAACTTAAGCCTCCAGACCATGGGCAACGTAGAACATACGCAAATGGGGTGATTCAACAACAAGCCGTTGATGATTTTTCAAACCGAATTTTCTTCAGCGATGAGGCTCATTTCTCGGTCGGTGGTTACGTGAATGAACAGAACAGCCGTATATGGGGCTCTCAAAATCCCCAGGTGATCGCCGAAAAGCCTTTGCATCCTGAAAACGTGACCGGATGGTGTGTATTATGTTCTGAGCGCTATGGGGGCATGTTAACCGATTATTTTTGGAGAAAAATTGAAGATTATGATCTGGAAGACATGTGGGTGCACCAAGATGGGGCAACGAGTCATACAACACTGGCAGTTAGAGCCCTATTGCTAGATAAATTTCCAGGACACGTAAATTCGAGATTGGGTGATGTCAATTGGCCCGCAAGATCCTGCGACTTAACACCGGTAGATGTCTTTTTGTGGGGCCATGCGAAAGATCGTGTTTACCCCAACAATCCTCAAACTCTTGGGCAACTGAAAGCCAATACCCGTGAAGTTATGACCGATTATTGCTAGTAATGTACCGAAAAGGCATGCAAAATAACCTTAAAAGGACTGAGTTCCGTAGGACGTCACTTGGAGAACATGTAAATGATATTGTTTTTCGCGTATAATGGCAAGGTTTAATCTTTATATTGAATTAAAATGTTCGTCTCCATCCGAATATTTTGCGTGTTTTTTACTTTACTTTCCCAAGCATAAAATGGACAACCCTGTACAATGCCCAAATAAGCCAAACAAATCTCCCATAGCAATCAAATCCAAGCCCAAAATTAATTATATATAATAACCAGCCACCAGGCACTCAAATAATTCAAAATAACACATTTTTCATATAAAAGAAAAGCATAAGAAGGGCAGAAAGTTTAGTTAAAGTAGAATTTGCAATGTGGAAGTGAAATCAATGAGTTGTACAAAGTAGGTACAGAGATTTTCCTTATCTCCAGCCCTGAGGAAGGCGACAATAAATGGGCGGAAGCTGGGTAACTAAAAACTTTCTCTTTTTCTTCACCACTGCCCAGACGAGTTCCCAAGAAATTTCCACACACGCCGATTTTGAGAATGACTTAAGCAGAATGTTTATCTTGGATTTTCGGGGAATGGAAATTCGGGCACTAATTTAATGTACTTCCAGATTAGAAATTTCCCATTAAGTTTGCAGATTTGCAATTTTTAGCTTGTAGGAAAATGCGCGTACAGAAGACAGTTGATATGCCATTTTCTTGACATGTCCAGTCAAATTTTCACACCTTTTCTCTCTCTGTCCTTTTGCTTTACTTACCTCATTTATCAGTATTGTTAATTCAGCAAGATTTTCTGTCCACTTTTCCTAGCGAAAAGCTAAATCATTGAAGAAAAACTTTTTGGCGTGATTCGACGCAGTATAATTCATCCCCCACCCCGTAATGCTGATGACAGGGCACCATTTTGGCCATTCTTCCTTGTGTCTCTGAAGAGTGCATACGTAGACAGCTTGTTGAGAAACATTCCTCTATTCGTAAATCCCCAGGTAAGATGTTTGAACAGTTTTCGATTTTTTCAGGCACACGGTTTACTCTATATGTCACATTTCCAACAATGCCACTAGTGAATGTTTCTTGGGTTCTAATCAGCATTTTCTCTTTAGATCGAGCCTGAAGATGTTTAGTTTGAGTGTAAACGCCCAATTGCCCCCAGGAGCTTCATCTCGGGCGGACGAAATCATGAAGAAACATCTGATGCAGTTCAGCTTCACATCCGCGGAGGAAAATGAATTTGTAAAGAGTTATCTTCGAAACGCTGAGCCGAACCCGGTGGCTTTTCTTGGCGTCGATCCGATGACGCCTTCGAAGTCTGCAACTCCTCCAGATGTTCCACGAGAAGATGACGACGAAAACGACGTGATATTTATAAGTCAGTACCAAAGAACCACCGACAATTTCCAGAAGAAAAATAGCCCCAGAAGAAACCCGGTTCGAAAAGCCCGAAATGCAAAACGAGGGTTTCATCTTCAAAATGAGCACCTCCTGGAGGAGGACTTTGGCATTCTCGATCAGATCGACGAGGATAATTTGGTGAGTTAAAAAAAATGCTTTTCGTGGGGTTTAGTTGGGATTCTGACAGCATTTAGGCCCATGTGTTTTTTATAGCATAGGGTGTAGAAAAGTTGCTACCCGCGCTGGGTTAGCAGCAGCGAAAACTAAATTCCATGCGGTTCTGCTGGGATTTTGACATTTTTGGGGCGTAAGCAACTTGTACGGGTAGTAGAAACTTCGGGGTCTCTACTGGTTTTAGGTTAGAAGATATTATTTTTCCTCGGGATGATACAGCTGACTGAATAATATAATATAATAGTATTTTATGCTATTTAACTGAATTTCTTCAGAAAGTTCTTCTCGATGGTCCTTTATGTGCTCTAAAAATCGCAAGTCGCTACTTGCTGCAGGTTATGGCACAGGCATTTTTTTTGAGCTGGGGCAGTTGAGTGAAGTAATGCCTTTATTGGCTCGAACTTATTCATTTGGAAAAATTCTGTTATTGATTCGATATTAACTACGGCTACTAGATTTTGAGAAATTAATTTTTATTGAGATGGTGCAATCGTGTGAGCAAATTTGGTTTTCTACTACAATTTATTACATTAAAAAATAGTCTTTTATGCAATTTAACTGAATTTCTTCAAGAGTTTCTTCTCGATGGTCCTCTATATGCTCCAAAAAATGCACGTCGCTACTTGCTGCAGGTTAAGACGCAGGAACTTTTTT